ACAAAATCAATGATTGCTGCTATCAGATTTTTTTTTTGATTGATTCTTAGAACTGAATAGCCAAGGACTTGTACAAGGATTGCACTTGATGCAAAGAATTAAAGAATCGAAAAAAATGAAAATGAAAAAGAAAAAGAAAATTTCCTTTTTTTTCACAATAATCATCATTAGAATCAATGCGGAAATCAATTCGGTTATTACCGGGTATTTGCACAATGTATTTATAACCGGAATAATAACCAAAAATCATTGAATCACATATACACATTCAAACACATTTTGATTGTTTTTTGCTGGCGGTTTTTGTTTCTATTCACGAGGTTCTATCATTATTCGGATATTCTGAGATTATCAAAATAACCAAAATCTTTTCATTTCTTTTTTTCTATGTATAAGGCCATATGAAATTAGAAAACCAAACCAAAACAACCGAAAATGAAAAACAAAATTCAGATTACCATCCCATCGCATATACAGTATAATCATATTCCGAAAAAAAATAAAGCTAGAAAATTGAATTATAGCCAAAGCACATCAGTTTTCATTTTCATTTCGTTTCATTTTTTCGTTTTTTGCTGGTTGACAATCTTATTTGATGGACAATTACAATGATGATGATGATGACAACAAAATGGCGACAGAAAAAAAACAGAAAAAAAAGGCCAAAATGATTTTTATTTTTGTTTGGCTCCCAACAAATTATAGAAGAAAAGCATAGTGACATAACATTGGGTGGAAAAAAAACGAAAGGATCATCACGATTTTCAACTCAATGACAATGGTGATAACTATGACGCCAACCCAAAATGCTCTAAACAAAATAGCAAGCAAAAAAAAATGATCCATGAATGAAGAATCAAAATCTTCAACCAACGGCGTCAATGAAATTATATCCAACCAACCAACACATGCATACATAGGGTAAATATATATAGATCAAAGAATCAAAAGAAAGAAAAAAACAAATGATTGATGATATCCAGAATCAAGAATCGAGATTTTTTGATATAATCTTTTTTTTTGGAGGAGGGAGAGGAATTCTCATAGAATCTCATTCATATAACAAATTTTTCGTTTTAGCATATATGCAATTTGATTGTTGTTGTTGAATTTGATAAGCTAATAACAACAACAACAATGACATCAAACTTGATTTTCTTTTTTTTCTGAAAAAACTTTAAACACATTTTCATTGTAATATTTGATATGATGATGATGATCAACGAGAGACAAGAGATTTGAAAGAAAAAAAGGGAAGAAGCCGCAAAGATTCTTTTCTTTTTCTTATCTTTTTGAAATTCGATTATTGATGCTCCCATCATCCAATTTTTATCTGTAGAGATTTCTTCGTTCTCTCTCTCTCTCTTGATAATGCAATAACGACAACTGAAAAAAATTGAAATTGAAATGTTTTCTGGTGTGTTGGGGTTCCATGAAATTTTGTTTTTGGTTTTGTTTTGTTTTTTGGGTATTTTTTTTAAGTTTCATTTCAAGTTTGAGTTTCTAATCGTTTGGGAAAAGAATCATACAAAAAAGACATTCTCTATAAAGAGAGAATATAGCATATATGAGAAACTTATAATTTTCGGTTCTGTTCTTGTTTCTTAACCCAAATATTCTTGGCTGGTTTTTAGTAGTAGTAGTAGTAGAACTGACCGACATGTGTCGTAAATTCTTTACTTTACTTATTCCCTTAGTTCTGCTTTTTCAATATTCTCTAATCAAGTTATAATATTTTTATGTAATAAGAATGAAGAAAGTCAGCAATCTTTTTTC